ATATACAGAAAGTTAAAATAACGTTTAGCGACACACTATGATATACAAAACAACAAAATATCGTTTATCCACAAACTATGATATACAAAACAATAAAATATCGTTTAGCGACAAACTATGATATACAAAACAATAAAATATCGTTTAGACATACACTGTGATGTACAAAACAATAAAATATCGTTTAGCGACACACTGTGATGTACAAAACGTTAAAATAACGTTTAGCGATAAACTATGATATATAAAACAATAAAATAACGTTTAGCGACACACTGTGATATACAAAACAATAAAATATCGTTTAGCGACAAACTATGATGTACAAAACAATAAAATATCGTTTAGACATACACTATGATGTATAACACAATAGAATATTGTTTAGCGACACACTGTGATATATAACACAATAAAATATCGTTTAGCGACACACTATGATATATAAGACAATAAAATATCGTATAGCAGCACACTGTGATGTATAAAATAATAAAATATCGTTTAGCGACACACTGTGATATATAAAACAAAATAACATTTAGCGACACACTGTGATATATAACACAATACCATATCGTTTAGCGACACTATGATAAATAACACAATAAAATATCGTTTAACGACACACTGTGATATATAACACAATAAAATATCGTTTAACGACACACTGTGATATATAACACAATAAAATATCGTTTAGCGACACATTGTGATGTATAACACACAATGAAATAATGTTTAGAGATACACTGTGATATATAACACACAATAAAACATTGTTTAGAGATACACTGTGATATATAACACACAATAATATATTGTTTAGAGATACACTGTGTTATATAACACACAATAAAATATTGTTTAGACATACACTGTGATATATAACACACAATAAAATATTGTTTAGACATACACTGTGATATATAACACAAATGAAATACTGTTTAGAGATACACTGTGTTATATAACACACAATAAAATATTGTTTAGAGATACACTGTGATATATAACACACAATAAAATATTGTTTAGACACACACTGTGATATATAACACACAATGAAATATTGTTTAGAGATACACTGTGATATATAACACACAATGAAATATTGTTTAGAGATACACTGTGATATATAACACAGAATGAAATATTGTTAAGAGAT